ATAATTCACTAGGACTCTCACATTCCCCTCTCTCCTTGAAAGCTTCCCCCCCACATTTTTTCTCTAGATACATGTCCTAAAAGACAAAACAAACATAAAACATTAATACCTTTTTAAGCTCTCAGAGGCAAGGTTGCTGTCCCTCCACGTGCCATGGGCACAGCTTAAATTTTCCTTGTAGCAAATGTTCACTGTATCATAACCGTCGATTCACTCACCATTTCCCCACTTAGACAATGAACTCCAGAAGCCCTCTTTACTATTATATTCTCAGTGCATAGAACAGTATCTGACATTCAGAAGGTGCATCATACACACACAGGCACACACATGCACACACACATATGTATTTGTTGTTGAATATATGAAAGAATGAATGGATGGACAAAATAAATGGTTTCCAAACATTGTTTTAATCTCTAGAAAAAAAAAAGCCGAGTAAGATTCAGTCCTTTCCCTTGCAGATCTAGTCTGATGTGTGGGAGGGGAAATCAGACTGGTAATAGGGAAGGACTGATAAGAGAGAGCTCAAAGTCAGGAGCAGATGAAAAAGGCTGAGTCTGGGAAAGAGTCTTCGGCCCTGTTGGCTACATGAAGATAGGAGGTGGGGGAAGATGAATCCCCGCTATTAAATATCCCGTTCAACCAGGAAAGCAAAGGGTCTCCTGCTGAAGTTTATTGCTTCAGTTCCTAACCTTTCATAAGTGCTTACTTGGCAGCCCTATGGAGAGTGGTATTTGATTCTCTGGGAGCATCTTAAAGGAGCAGCATCAGACCTCCCACTTTCTCTTTTTCATTTAGGCTATAAAAACATGGGCTTGTGTATAACTTCCATGGGAGAAAAAAATATATATCTCATGTTAGTTCCAAATGAAATGACATTTAGTAAAGTGTACATATTCGCCATGTTCCAGGGCTCCTTTTAAAGCGTGTGCAGAAGGGCCTTTCTTCATAGCAAAGGATACGGAGCAGCAGGTGTCTTTTTCTCTCCGAACTTCTCCCAGGTGCTTAAGGGGAAATGTTTGCAGGAGCCTCAGTAGGTCTAGCAATCACTTAGCGAGCCCCCAGAGCATTAGGGCATCTTACAGGGACGGTTGTGTGAAACACAAAGACAGACTCATAATGGGACTCGCCATCTTGCACAGCTGGCTGCTTGCTGGGTGGGGATCACTAGTTGAAGAGGAAGGGGTCGCTGGTCACCTTACTGAGAAGGGTGTGTTACTGAGGTAATGGCAGGTGAGGCGCTATTAGGCAGTAAGTGGAGTATGGTAGTGATGATATCCAATTCACAAAGAATTTATGGCATTGGACAGATACATGACCCGAAAGGAGAAGCGAGATATTATTGCGAGAATATAGGCCAAACAATATGGGATTCTGTGTAGGATTACAACACACATAGTACTTAACTTCCGTCAATCTACATAGGACACACAATGCACTATACAGATGATGTATTATAGAATTGTACACCCAAAACACCTATATAATTTTATGAACCAATGTCACCCCAATAAATTTGATAAAAATAAAAGAAATAAAAACTCATAAAAACTCCAACAAACAAACCAAACCCACGAATGTCCACTATAAAGATGACTCAGATGGCCTTTTATTATTATCTTCAAATCCCATTTTTGCTAATCAGCTTTATTTGTAGGACAACATAGCTATTTCCATGGCTACCGTTGAATTTTGCAATCGATAGACTTTGAAATAGGAACATTATAGATGGCTTCACTGCACATGGCTTAGGGCGGAAGTTTACCTGTTTCTTTAAATGTTATTGTGCTCAGTGAGTCTGGCAGCCCTTGTGATTTTCAAAGACAGATGTTAAACATATTCATCCTGTTATTACATAAAGCGTTTTATTTATGTAATGAACATGAGAGCTATTACTATCACAGTATCATTTTAAAACACCTATATTTCTGCAAGGCACCGATATTAAAATATTTTCCAACTATAAATGCCCTGCGTGACATAAAGGATACTTTTGAAGCTACAGAAAAGCATTAAGAAAGCAATATTGCCCCCCCCACAACTCTTTAATTGCATCTCTCGTTAAGTTTCATATTTTACAATTAGAAACATGAACCGTTTTGAGTTAATTATTGTATTAAGTGTGAGGTTGAGGTCAAGGTGTGTGGTTTTGTTTATTTTCTGCATACACACATCCAGTTACTCAACATCATTTGTTTTGGGTATATCACTTTTTTAAAAGATGTTTATTGATTTTAGAGAGGAAGGGAGAGGGAGAGAGAGATAGAAACATCAGTGATAAGAGAGGATCACTGATCAGCTGCCTCCCGCATGCCCCCTACTGGGAATCAAGCCTGGGCATGTGCCCTGACTGGGAATCAAACCTGGGGTGCTTTAGCCACTGAGCAATACCAGCCAGGGCTCACTTTCTGTATTTTTTAAGCGGTTTCTCTAGGGCGGTGGTGAGCAAACTGCGGCTCGCGAGCCACATGCAGCTCTGGCCCCTTGAGTGTGGCCATGAAGTTTCAGTCGCACTGTATGTTTGTTTGTTTTTTTTTTATCTTTGGGCCTCAGCAGTGCTCTGAGCAGCCCAGTTCTCATGCTCTGTGCTCTCTGTTTGGTTACATGTGACTCAGGGCTGAGTGTGGAGTTCACAGAAGCTCTACACCGGGTCATTTGCCCAAACTCTTCCCTCTCCAAGGTCCTCAAAACATCGTTGCTTTCCCAACACTCGGCTTTTCTGTCTGTTACCCAGAAAGCTGGTGCTTTCCCCTGCTCACGTGCTTCTGCAACTGGGCTAAGTGGGCAGAGGGCAGAGAGAGAGACCGAAGGGAGTTTGCCCACCTCCCGGGTCCACAGAGGAGGATCTCCCCCTCAGGGCCTGGTGGTGGCTCTGTATGTGGATGCCAGGAGGTCCTGGGAGGGGCGGGTGGTTTGGATCTTGTCTGGTGGGACTTTGAATCCTGGTCTTCTTCCTCAGTCCACCTGCTGCTGGGGGCTCTTCACAGACCTCAGGTGGCTGCTCCCTGCCGCCCATCCAGGATTCATCGTTGCTCTGAGTGGGAGAGGCGGGGTGAGGTGTGCTCATCCCATGGTACCCAGGATCAGAACCTCATCGCCCACTTTGTTTGTATTATTGTGGGGAAAGAAACAGAGAATGAAATGTACCATTCTCGCCAGTTGAAACTGTACAATATAGGGGTGTTAAATACATTTATAATATTGTGCAAGCATCCCTGCCTAGATTGAGAGCTCTTCCATCATCCCCAATGGAAACTCCAAACCCAGGAAGTAGTCTCTCCATGTTTCTCCCCCCCTGCCTCCCCCCAAATCCCACGGCAACCAGTTATCTGTATGGATTTGCCCTGCTTCACTTTCTAACAGTTTGCAGAAATAGAATTAGCATATCATGAAGTCACCTATTTCAAATGTATAATCCAGTGTGTGTGTGTGTGTGTGTGTGTGTGTGTGTGTGTTGTACATTTACAGAACTGTACTCATTTATTTTTTTAATATTTTGATATATTTCCTCCCAGTCTTTTTCGCTTGTTCTTTCTTCCTCTCTTTTATGATCTGTTTGAATTGTATTTATAAAATAAAACAGGAATCATAACATCTGTGCACCTTTGTTGCTTCTTTAAAATAACAAGCTAAATAGTGCCTTTTGAGTATATTTCAAAGCCATGGTTCCCAATGCTGTGCTTGATGCCATCAAATCAGTACGCTGTCATTGATGGCCAGTGCTCCCATTTCTATACTGTCGCACTTACAATGCTTTTTTTTCCCTAAGTAATGCTGTGGGGAACTGCCATGTAAAGAAACATGTGTTGTGTATCCCTGCTTATGTTCTTGGGAGCTGTTCTGGAAGGTGATCTTTCTGGGTTCAAGGGCACATGGAAGAACACTGGCTTATAGACGGGGGGCTCTGGCACATCCTCAGTAAAGATTCCTGTTTTTGTTTTTGTTTGAAAGATGGTGAAACAAAAAGAAACGTTCCTTCCAAAATATATAAAATATACATCAGAAGTCAGTTCCAAGACCTTCTTATCCTTTAGTAAAAGTTTCAAACACTTGCAATGTACTGTCAGGTGCTCCGAGTCAGGGGTGGCTTCATCGGTTAAGAAAATACCAGAAACACACAGAACACACTGTGCATGCAGCCCTGAGATTTAGTTCAGCCTCACTGTTTGAGTGGACGGTAGAGTCCGCAGTCCCCACAGAGGCAGCGTGCCCATATGCTCCTGCTTGCTTTGTCATCCCCACTCCACATATGCTGTCGCTGGCACAAGCAACAGCCCACCCACTCCTCCCACTCACACACATTCTCCTGTTGGAACAATCAATTACATGGTCACCCCAGAGAAGCCTTTTAGATTTGTAGAAGCAGGCTTTGGTAGGGCAAGGTTAGCGATGCATGGTGTGGATATCCCACATTCTCCTCTTTGAGCAGAGGGAAGATATCACCGATCGATCAGGCTCTTTCTGGTATGAGCACTGAGCTCAGAATCATCCCCAAGGCAGTCCCATGGGGGCTTATTACCATGTGTTTAGAACTGGAGCGTAAAATGTAACCCAGTTGCCAAGACACGTAGGTGACACTACTGGCCCTTAACATCAGAGAAGACACTGTGTGACGCCCAGTGACTATTCCCAACCACCTTGAACGGGCCTCAGGGAAGGATGCCTGAACCTGGTAGACAGGGCAAGGTGGAGTGGGGGAGGGGGAGGGGGAGCATGCCAAGAGGGAGCCTTTGCCCCGGCCAGCTTTCGCCTTGGACCTCTTTCCTCATGACCTCCAAGACCAGCTCCTCCTAATTGTTTCTGGATCACACAATCGAAACGCCAACTGAAGCTTACAGAAAAAAAAAAATAGTTCTAATGAAAAATGTAAATAGGCAATTAATTAATCCTGGGTTTGCTTTAAGCCGAGTGATTAGAAGCAACTTCCTTTTTCCCTTTCATGTTGTTTTCATGCAGAACCTTCTGATTTCCACCCCCTCTTTTCCTTTTCTTTGTAGGTTTCAAGGCAGCAGATGAATTGTGACAGAGAGCAGCTAAGGGTAGGTGCACCTGCGTGTGAACACTTCCTGCTTTCCGTTTCTGTGTGATAAGCAAAAATGTCCTTGTCTCTCCCAAGACACGGGGTTCTAAAGAGTGGGCTCCGTCCACAGCCTGGTAGTGTTGAAAATATTTATCCCAGCTAATTTGGTATTGATTGGGCTGGTAAATACAGTATATCTCCTTTTGAAGTGCCATTATAGCAGATATGGATTTTTTGATTTAGATTCAGCAATAAATACTTCTCTTCTCGAATTCGTTTGACATCATTGTACTCGTTTTATGTACAACAGGAGGCCTAAGTCATAACAAAGGTCAAAAGGATGTCTTGCTGCCTTCTAACGTGACTACCAGGCTGTGTGCTGACTGGCTAAAAGGCCCCCTCGCTGTGACCTGGGGTGGGTGAGCCCCTCAGATGTCAAGGGCATGTTCTAGGGGAATGCATCTCCCCCAGAGACCGTTTAGTTTTGTGGCATTTGTGCATAAAGGAGAAAGAGACAGACTTTAAAGCGTCATATGTGATTTACCTTCTTGAAAATGAAGCTCTCTCAGCGTTCAGATGTGCTAGATGCAAAGAGAGAATGGTTGGTTTCTAGATGGAGCTGGGGGACACCGGGCTGCTTCCATGGGGTTGTATTGATGGCCTTCTTGGCACAGGTGCGGTCTATCAAGAAATATCAGGATGGGACATCCCCATTTGTGTGTGTTTGTAAATGCATTCATGGTTTGGATGGATGAGCTCGAAGTCATAATTAGCCCAGCTTTCATGTCACTGATGGTTGTTGGCAGTTTGTACTGGACCACAGGCCTCATGGTCCTGTCTCCACATTATTATGAAAATGAGGGGGATCTGCTGCTTTTAAAGCGACAGCAGTGTGGTGTGGGGTCAGGGGAACCATTGTGCTCAAAGGGATCCAGCACATGAGGACAATGTGCTCAATAACCCTAACATCACTGTCACTTTCCCGGGCACTCACTCAGGGCCCGTCTTGAGATGACAATGGCTCCTAGTAGCGTTGTTTCCATCCACAGTTGCTATCGGTGTCAGGTCTGTGAGATCCTTCCATCTAACAAACATCACAAACCGCAGAATCCAGTGGCACGGAGCCGAGAAAGTGACGTGAGGATTTTTTCCTTTGATGCGTGTTTTTTTTACATGGTCCCCCAGCATGGTCCTCTTTAGTAACTTCTCATCTCCCGCCATGTCCCACCTGTGCCTACATCAGCTATGACGCCTTCATGAAGCAGCCTGCACGATGGGTTAAGCTTTCCCGATCTCTCTCATTGCTTTCCCCCTGCCGTCTGAATCACTGGTTCTTCCTAGTAAATAATGTATCCCCACTTCAGCTTTCTCTTCCTGTTTGAATGGGGACGGTGGCCAGAACTAGGTCAAGAGGATGTGTGCTTCGTCTCCAGGAGTCCCTGCTACATTTGGCGACATTAGGATCATTTCAAAATCTCTGTTACAAATGAGACCGGGCTGGCACATCCCAGACAGGGAGGTAGGGAAGGGCTTGAGTCCAGTTTGAGGGGCTTATTATTTTGCACCGATGAGGGCATTGTCAACAGGGCTGTGGTTTGGGAGTGAGAACAGAGCCCTTCCCATGATGTGAAATAAATTCAGGTGGTGGTTCCATGTAACGGGTCGTATAGTTTAGTGCAAAGGGCGACTCTGAAAGCCCCGTACAAGCCCATCGCTGAGAGCAAGAAGTGGTGTTCTGTCTGTGTTGCTGTGGCAGGCTTTTTCATTTTTTTTTAAACATCTTAAACTAATTTATGTTTTGAATGAATAGATGACACACTTAAATAAAAGGAATACAGATGTATGTGGTTCACATGTAACCGATACCTAAGGGGGTGTAGTGAGGGTTTCCCTTTCCACTCACTCGATCCTCCATTTCCAGTCCCTTCCTGGGAGACAGCAATGTCCTAATGTGCTGCCTCTCCCTTGACACCTATGCCTCATCTGTGGGTATTTTCTTTTTTAAAAAAAAAATATATGTTTTTATTGACTTCGGAGAGGAAAGGAGAGGGGGAGAGAGATAGAAACATCAATGATGAGAGAGAATCATTGATCGGCTGCCTCCTGCACACCACCAACCAGGGAACCAGCCTGAAACCCTGGCATGTGCCCTGACCCGGAATGGAACCATGATCTCATGGTTCATAAGTCCACACTCAACCCCTGAGCCACACCAGTGGGGCTATGGATATGTTCTCTGTTCCATCCTTCCCTGTTCTTCTATCTCTCTCTTTGGCCTCCTGCCTTTCTTCTCTCCCTCCTTTTCTTCCTGTATTCTGCGTATACTCAGCCCCTCTTCTAGCTGCGAAAAAGCAAACAAACTCTCTTGATCAATGTGATGTTTTTTAAGGAGACATTTTTTTGGAGGTTGCAGATTGAAAGAAATTTAGTTCTGATCTGAAATGCTAATACGTGGCCACCTCAATAAAATGCATTTTCCTTAATATCATTATATTTTTCTTAGAAAGAGAGACACTGGGAGAACAGTGGGTATCTGTTTAGTTGCCCATATCATTGAAGGGCGTCTGTCGGCCACACTTCTTAAAACATGTGTTAAATACAGCAATCACACTGCATTTCCTGATTTGTCTACAATATGATTGGACCATGGTCATGTTGCCAAGCTTATATTCCTCCCTTCGTACATTCTTTTAGGTTGTCAGAATTTAAGTGGGTATTTGTAAAAGGCATCCCTTTTTCTTGGCCTTCTGGGAACAGAAAAGGATGCAGAAAGATGCAACTGCTCCTGCATCTTTTGTGCAGGTGGACACTGCATAGGGATTGGCAAAGCCAAGACCTGCTCCTACTGCTCTCCTTTCTTTTTCTCCTTTACTTGGTCCAATTTTTTCACAAATTCAAAATTAATTTTTTTCCCAAATGGACATTTCTTCTATTTTAACATCTAAAACTGGATTTTTCTGATTAATTAATTTTCAGGAAGTACAAAGTTAAAGACAGTCAAACTGTGCTGTTTTTTTTTGTTTGTTTTGTTTTGTTTTGTTTTGTTTTTTAAATGCAGGACTTCTCAGAGCCTTTAATGTGCAAAAGTGAAATGCAGAGAGATGGCTCTAATGCACAATTTCCTGCAAACTCATCTGATCACAGAACACTTTTTTGCATCCAGAGCATTCTCTGAGAAATACTCTTGAAAATTTTATCAGGTTTTTTTTTTTTTTTTTTTTTTTTTTTTTTTTTCAGTTAGAATGATATAGTCTGCAAGTTATGGAAAAGCTAAGTGTTATATAAGAGATAAAAGCATTTCATCACCTCCCACGGCCAAGTTGATTTTGGGAAGTCTTGGTAGCCAGGCCGAGGTTTGGAATCTTTGTGCTTCTCCTGGCCTTTCTTTCCTTCTTCCCAGAGGAAGAAGCTTCATGTGCTCACATGACAACACTCTCAGCAGGAGGGATACGGCAGAGGAGGTTTTCCTCATAGTTCTTGTGTGTTGTTGGAGAAAAGTCATTCCCAGAAACCTTCTCTGAAGATGTTTTCCTAGATTTCATTGGCCAAAATGTACGCTAATCATTCCCACAGACTGGGGATCTCAGTGATTGGCCACAGCAGCCATATTTTATTTCCAGGGACAGGCACACTGTCACCCGAACCAAACCAGGACTTGCTGAAACAGGAGGAAGAGGAGAATGTATGTGGGGGAGTTACCCAATAGAGAGCGACAGAAGCATCCGCACGGGCCCTCTACGTCACTCATGGTGTTGGTTTCCTGCCAACGCTTTTACGTGGTCCCTCCATCCCGAATGCATGACTGTGGGGACTCCAAATAAAGCCTCAGCAAGTGTCTGGACTCTGCTTGTGAATTTGCAGTAGGTGTTTTCTCTGCTAATTTTCTGTCTCACAGATCCCATCCGCCAGTCCTCACTGACACTTTGCCCAGCTTCGCTCTCTCTGTGTGTGTTTCTCCTCTTGCTCTTTGGAGGCATCCTAGATGCTGTCTTTGCTAGTTTCCTCTCTGCCTCCCGGATAGACAGCAGGCAGGAAGCACCTCACGGCAGACCCCAGCTCAGCCCCAGAGAGGCTGTCCGGGAGCTTCCTAGACCCTACCCTTCCCAAGAGAAGGGCACCAGCCAGTTCCTCCTAACAATGATTCACCTGTCTCAGAAGGCTGTTGGGATTGCTCATGACCTCAATGAGCAAAGTAGAGAACAACAAAAACTTGAACATTTGTTCATCTCGAGTTTACTCAGTCTGTAGTAGACTGAGCCAGCTCTGAGCTTGCCTTGAAATTGTAACTGGATTCCATTGGAGAGATGGTCCACAGAGCTCACCGTGAAATCTGTCCATGAAGTGCCTCTGATTCCATGGGTTGCGTTGACCAGTGGTTCCCAAGATCTCCGCTGACAGGTGTGGGCAGTGCTAGTTGTACAGTTGCCATGGCCCAACCGTCAACATTGACCTCTTTGGCATCCAGAACTGAAAACTGTACAAATAAACAAGTAAGAGAGAAATGGCATGGCCTCCGTAGCCCTTGTCTCCCTTGGCAACCTACCAATTGGAAAGATGGTGTGCTTCTAGGGCAGGGACCAAAGGACCGCTCTTGTTAGCATTCCTGTAGAATGTTTGGTTGCAAAAGGACCTCGTGCTGAGAGTACCAGATGTTTTGGGGGCTGTTTAGCAACTTTGGTCAGAACACTGCTATTACTCAGCAGGCGAAGACTTGGCTCTCCGGTGGGTTAGAATCGGTTCCTGGACCACAGTTCTCATCAACACTGTGGCCAGTGGATCCCTTGGGAGGCAGCATAGTATGAGGGGCAGTTAGAGGTGGTCAGGAGCTCTGGTATAGACTCGGGTTCCGGTCTTAGTTCTAACGCTACCTAGTTTTGCAACGCTCCACATGCCAATGTTCAAAATGGGGACATTTTTCTCAGAGGACTATTGATTGGATGAAATGACTTACAGAGAGCACTTCTAAAGGGGTGCTCCTAACAGGAGGGGAGAGGCATGAGAGAGCCACTGGGGAGAATG